AAATGCATTATATAAAACAATGAGGCAATAATGATTGGTTAATTAATAATTAAGTGGTTTCATTGAATAACACTGTTAAAATACATAATGTAATACAAAGTAAAGTGCTGCTACACTTACAGGACGATCAAGTCCTTTAATACTGACCAAACATTTAATTCAAATATCCACTTAATCTTTAATTTTTGGCCACCTTTTTGCAAAAGAAATGCGACAGCCTCAATAATTTATTCAACAAAAACATGTTGACATCACAACCCTTACAAAAAATTAACCATGGTTTTATCCTAAATGAACCAGGAACCATATGATCATGATTTCTGAATGCTTGAGACTAAAATCAATCAGACAACTGTATTAATAAAAATAATAGCCATAGGTAACCGTCTAGAGCTACAATTGTAATTTGTAAATAATACAATAAAATTACAATTTGTTTATTTATTTAATTTTATATTTTATTAAAGTTTTGTTTTGACCCCTATAGTAGGTGTTTTGTTTTTTTTTACATCCATAATATTTGGGGGAGGGCACCCATTTGGCCAGCAACGGCCCTGGTCATGAGTTCCAGCAGAACGGTTTGTCTGAATGATATGGGTGAGGCAGAGGAGGCCATAGGAGTTTTTGGGAAACCAGTATGGAAACAATTATTATATCTGCAAATCCATTTTTTGTGGAGCAAACATGACACACATCACCTTTTAGGCTTGAAATAACTACGTCAGTGACAATCATTTTATAAGTTGATAAGCCTATTTACTTTTATATGTTTAGATGCAATTTATTTCTTAATTAATACTGATTTTTCCCTGCCGTCCACGACCCTATCAGAACAGATCTGTGACCCATTTTTGGGTCATGACCAACCAGTTGAGATCCACAGAACTAGGTGATGGGTGAGTGAGAGCAATAGGATAGGACGACTCTGGTCTCGTACATCTTTTACAAACCACGTAACATAACACATAACAGCTGAGCACTTGGCTAAATATCACAGCCTCTTATGGAAACTGCTACCGAAGATTAAGTTTCATATCAATCCCTAAGGAGCCACTACATGCTGCAGTATCACAGAGAGAGAGAGCAGAGCTGCTTCTCCTAGTATTTGGGAGGCTTCCAGTGCCCCGCATGACCCCCAGTGAGAGAAGGACAGGATGAGACTCAGTGACATTAGCACCATGTTGGCCTCACATTCATAGTTTAAATGCTCAGTGCCAAAACTGGACAGACAGGCAATTACAACTCAGTCACTCCACAGGGGCACAAAGAGTTTAAATAAAGATTTCTCTGGGCTTTGTTATTGAGACAAACACACAGTGTCTGGTTATATAAATGAAAGAGAACATGAGTTCAGGCCGTGGTTGAGTGACCAACCTAACTGCAGCCTGACTTTCACTACAGATGAAAATAATGTTTCCATTATGATGTCACAATAGGTGTCTGCTGCTAGGGTGAACCATTTTTTAAAAGAATAACTTTGAGTTTGTAATTTATGTAAAAGAAAAAAAACGTATTAATCTTTAATATTTAATGAAAAACATTCTGTGCATGCACCATCTATGAGTCAGAGCAAAGCATTGTACAACCGCGCCTGCAAGAATCAAAGCGCTTCTGGTTTTAATCACTGAGGGCGGGAATAAAAAAGTGAGGCTGCATCTAGAAATGCAGACTGTCTGAGTGGGTATCCGAGGTCTTCAGCCCTGTTCCTGGGGACCCACTGTCCTGCAGTCCAGCTACAACCCTAATCAAACACACCTGAAGCAACTAATCAAGCTCCTCAAGATTGCTTGAAAATACACAGTCAGGAGTGCTTAAGCAGGTTGGAAATAAACTTTGCAGGACAGCGGATCCCCAGGAGCAGGGTTAAAGACCTCTGTTCTGTATAGTATGAATTTGTGTATTGTGAATGTATTCCGGATGTACTACATCTGTCATGCTGTCATTGTCATGTAACCTACTAGCGTCAGTTGTGTGTCACTTCACTGCCTTCTCCTGTGGCCTCGTGGGATAGTAAAGTGTCCATCAGATGCCACTTCAGAAACTCGCCGTACATAGTAGGTCATCAGGTGACTTTCTGCCTTCTGTTTTATGAATACTGTGAATTCGGACATACTACTCTGTTCACACTGTTTTTCACCTACTATGTAGTAGGGAAGTATGCGATTTTTGGATGCAGACGTGATTTCGTGTTTAGTATTAATATTTGACCATAAAGGCTTCCATAGTGCAACTGAAATTGTCACGAACATGACAAATAAATGACTCTTATGAATTGGTTCTTTTTAGTGCGTTAGTACAAAAATACTCCCGAAACTGTCTCATAAAGTAGTGGTGAATCATTTATAGCTGTAACTGAACCCCCCGCTGAATCATGAATCAATTTTTGGTTATGTATGATCCTAAATGAACCGGGAACCATTAGCTACTTGTAATTAAAGATATATATTCAAAACTATTCTGCTGTAACAAATAGCATTCTAAATAAAATTATTCACTAAAATATCCAATAATTACATATTTCGCAAAAATATTGCTGGCTATTGTATAGCAAAAATTTGTACGTTTGGCAAGTACCAGTACAGACCAACAGAGAAAACACTTGAATTCATTCTCAAATTGCAAAACAAATTGGCTCTGTCACCCAGAAACAAATGTTGCATATGAGCGTTGGGGTGTAAACTTCAATTTTCAAGTTCAGCTTTTGTTTGTTTGTTACCAAATTGCTTTGGTGACGTCTGTCCAAAACAGTAATGACAGAAATACAATCAGGATTGTCACTAGAGTGACAGTATGAAAAGAGAACTAAATCACTTCTGAGCAACTATCTATACTTAATAAATCTGTATTTTGTCAACTAAAAGTCATAAATGTCATTTAGCTCCAAAGTATTAAAATGCCATTTTACCTAATGACTTCCTAGTCATTTTTTTAGTCTGGAACCCTCAATATTGATCATTTTCAGATCGGGTTTGAGCTTCAGCTTATGCAAACCACTTTATCACAATAATGTCCATTCAACTCTTGGAAACCCATTAATGAGGCTATATAATGGGATCAGATAGAATTGTGATGCCCGGTCTTAACCAAACAGTAAGCACTAACTTGTGTTCCCATATGGGAGAACAACCAGCCAGCTCTGTTTCTGGATCATTAACTTCAACAAAGTGCCATCCAGCGCATTCAGTTCAACATTCACGCTCATCTAATCAAAACTAATTCAGCCATGTTGCTGCAGCAATCATTTCTGTATGCTCCACCAGCTGCTACATCTCCCCAGGTGCATATGAATCAATGCTTCATGACCAATGAATAATGAAGTCAGCAGTATATAGTTTATATGAGAGACAAATTATATGTCAACCATCTTGAGGGTGCTGTGCCATTTAGACCTTCCCTGTAAATTTGGTCATCGACCAGACCTCAGGTCAACACAGATGATCCTAAACTGAAAATGTCAGTTGCACTGAAAAGGGGGCCCAATGGCCCATGCATGGATCACTCAAATCATAGTGACCGTTCAACCACAAAGTAACAGACTGAAATCTAAGCTATCTGATTGAGAGTCAGGTCTGCTCTCAAGGGACATGTTAAAGCTATGGAACAGTTGTGCACAGGCAAGTACGCTCCTTTTAATTTACAGATCCATACAATGCTCCTGCATCAGTGATGAGATGCACGTTTGTAAGTGTCAGCAGTCTTACAGGACAACTGGAAGGGAAAGTTTACACAAAAATAAAAATTCTGTCATTTACTGTACTGTACATCATCCTCTTGTCCTTTCAAACGTCTATAACTTTCTTTCTTCTGCAGAACACAAAAGATGATATTGTGAAGAATGTTTCAATTGCTTTGGTCCCAATGAAAAACAATGGGGTCCAAAACAACTCAGCACACTGTTGACTTTTACTGCATGGACAAAAACATTTTTGTGTTCCACAGAAGAAAGAAATACATACAGGTTTGGAACATCTGTCCTATAGTCGCTGTATTATTCGCATATGTAGGCGTTTACTTTCTCCCATTCCGTCTCTGATAGCACCATGAAGACAGTACATTGTGACTTATTTTGACATTACATAAGAGGGAACCTCCTTATGACCATCCACCACCTTCCTCTAGATCATAAATCTCTTACAGGGTAGTCCTAACTCCAATGATAGGCCGAGTGCCTTAGAAAATAATTTATGAACTCCGTCAACACACTGTACCAAGGGAAGACAGGCACTGCTTACACAGTGACAATGACAAGACCTTCAAATTAGGACAGAATAAATCTGCAAACCTGATTAAAATTTGTGATGCCTTTTTCTGGTAAAGGCATTTAATGGTACATTTAATGCATCATACCATAAATCATATCAAAGGACCTGCTTGCTGACTTGCACAAAAAATAATTTAAATTTATAAAATATGCACATGAAAGAAAACCCTCTATTTTGGCAGGATAATATTGTAACCTTTTAGCAAATTGTTTCTTTTAACAAAAACGTAGACAGTTTAGACAGACACTGTAATAGCTTTCATAACCATTTCTAGAAGACAGACGCAACTAGACACAAACTCTATATAAAGTCTATAAAGTTGTTATCAGCAGAATGTTTTCTATAGGTAACATAAAAACTATCAATAACAGTCACATTAATGTCATGCCAACGTAAAACGTTTTTAGAAAACTGCAAGTGTCAATATTATGTGGCATTAAGTCAAAAGAAAAAGCTTTGACAAATCAGAATAAATCAGTATTTATAAACGTACAAAGTTCATTGCCCAAATGAATGTATAATAAAACAAATGTTACTAGTTAAAAATAATAATAATGCTTTAAAACAAATTGTTTCGACTTTCCCATTCAAATCGATATTGAATACTTCATATGAAACGGAATTAAATCCTTGCACCTGTGGCACAAAACAACAAGAGCACACTGTTTTGCTAAAGCTAAGATTTTGTTTAAAAACTACTGGATATACCTTAAATGCAACAATGAATAAGAATCTTACCACGTTGGACGCCTAGGGCAACCCAGTCCGATTTCCAGATCTGAAGTGTTGTTCATTTCCAAATAAATGTATTTACAAATATTTTGCGACCCACAGGCTACATTAGCCAGGCTGCTAAGTGTCCGTCCTCCTCTCTCCTCCATGTGCTCTCAGCAGCACGCGCATAGTGGGGCGCTTTGCATAGAGTCTGATCAGGGCTTGACGTCACCGCACGACAACTTCATCTATTACTCTACAAAACAATTATAATTTAACTTGTGGCTCGGTATTTTACCTTACATAGACTGTTTAGCTTCATTATCATCCTAACAGTGATTGTAAATACCACAGTGCTTGACACTAAAACTTTTACCCTAAATGACAACCTGTCAAGAAGACGACAAGAAGAGGCTTTCTGTGGTAGATTTCACTTATTCAGGACTCTTGAACTTCCTTCTCTGGGAGTTTATCTACATGGATCCAGGTTTGGTCATAAAAACACTTACCTGCCATAAAGAATGTAATATTCATACCCCATATATATGTTGTCTGTGAAATATTCATTCATCATGTTTCACAGACAAGGCTTAAGCCTAGTCCCAGACTAAAATGCATGTCTGTTCTCTTTTAACTGTATGAAACTTGCACTGACATATCTTAAAATATGTTAGTACTATTGATTTGTCTCAAGATGCACACCAGTAAAATGTTTTTTCTAAGGCAAGTTTATAAAAGGTACTTAAATGTCCTAATTGAACTAACACAGCACATATTTAGTCTGTGATTTTGTCCTCATCCATCCAGTACTGTTTCCATAATCTTAGCAGGACAACAAGAGAAAATTATATCAGAGAAAAAGATTAAAAGAAAAGTTAAAACTGTGTATGAAAAGGAGCCTGTACTGTATGTCATCTACCAAACCCTTCACCCACTTTTAACAAACATGGCACTTTTGAGTGGAAGGTGAATGAAAGAATAAGCTGCTCTCCTTATGAGACTCCCTATGCCAGCATGGTCTTCAAAACTGCTCTACTTAAGGAAAGGTGACATATTTTTGTGCAGCAGGTGCATCAGAGCTCTTCTTACAAAGTTAAATGCCAATGATAATGCTTTTCATAACATATTAAAGCAGCAGTTTTATAGTAAAATATATAGAGAAATTAAAGGGGTCATATGATGCGATTTCAATTTTTCCTTTCTCTTTGGAGTGTTACAAGCTCTTGGTGCATAAAGAAGATCTGTAAAGTTGCAAAGACTAAAGTCTCAAATCCAAAGAGATATTCTTTATAAAAGTTAAGAGTCAACCACGCCTACCTAAAACGGCTCGTTCTAACACACCCCACATACCTACGTCACTATCTGGGAAGAGTTGCATAACGCCGCCCAAATAGTGACGTAGGTATGTGGGGGCGTGTTAGAACGAGCCGTTTTAGGTAGGTGTGGCT